ATCGCGGGGTACCGTTATATGAGAGCTATACGTTATCGTTAACCTATATAGAGAATTCTCTGTCGGTGGGTAAAGTGCTCACAAAGAACCCCTTGTGTACAAAGAACCCCTTGTGACCATTCCGTTGAAAAATATGGCTAAAAACATCAAAATACCGAATATCGGGGGTACCGTTATATGAGGGCTATACAATATCGTGGATCTATATAGATAATTCTCTGCCGAGGTATAAAGTACCCACAAGGAACTCCTTGTGTGGATTTTCAGACAATTCCGATGAAAAATGTGGGTCAAATCATAAAATACCGAATATCGGGAGGTACCGTTATATGGGGGATATACGATATCGTGGACCTGTATAGACAATTCTCTCTCAGGGGGTGAAGTACTCACAAGGAACTACTTGTGTTGATTTTAAGACAATTCCATTGAAAAGCGTGGCTAACATCATCAAAATACCGAATATCGGAGGTTACAGTTATATGGGGGATATACGATATCGTGGACCTATATAGATAATTCTCTGCCGAGGTATAAAGTACCCACAAGGAACTCTTTGTGTGGATTTTCAGACAATTCCATTGAAAAGCGTGGCTAACATCATCAAAATACCGAATATCGGAGGTTACAGTTATATGGGGGATATACGATATCGTGGACCTAAATAGATAATTCTCTGCCGAGGTATAAAGTACCCACAAGGAACTCTTTGTGTGGATTTTCAGACAATTCCGTTGAAAAATGTGGGTAAAATCATCAAAATACCGAATATCGGGGGGTACCGTTACATGGGGGCTATACGATATCGTGAACCTATATAGACAATTCTCTGCCGAGGTATAAAGTACCCACAAGGAACTCCTTGTGTGGATTTTCAGACAATTCCGTTGAAAAATGTGGGTAAAATCATCAAAATACCGAATATCGGGGGGTACCGTTACATGGGGGCTATACGATATCGTGGACCTATATGGACAATTCTCTGCCGAGGTATAAAGTACCCACAAGGAACTCCTTGTGTGGATTTGTAGACAATTCCGTTGAAAAATGTGGGTAAAATCATCAAAATACCGAATATCGGGGGGTACCGTTATATGGGGGCTATACGATATTGTGGACCTATATAGATAATTCTCTGCCGAGGTATAAAGTACCCACAAGGAACTCCTTGTGTGGATTTTCAGACAATTCCGTTGAAAAATGTGGGTAAAATCATCAAAATACCGAATATCGGGGGGTACCGTTACATGGGGGCTATACGATATCGTGGACCTATATGGACAATTCTCTGCCGAGGTATAAAGTACCCACAAGGAACTCCTTGTGTGGATTTGTAGACAATTCCGTTGAAAAATGTGGGTAAAATCATCAAAATACCGAATATCGGGGGGTACCGTTACATGGGGGCTATACGATATCGTGGACCTATATGGACAATTCTCTGCCGAGGTATAAAGTACCCACAAGGAACTCCTTGTGTGAATTTTCAGACAATTCCGTTGAAAAATGTGGGTAAAATCATCAAAATACCGAATATAAAAATGTTTAAAGAATTTTGTGTAGGCGTCGTAGGATCTAGAATTTACAAGTGATAGAAAAGGATTTCGGACATAAAACGCTTTATCAATGTTAACGCATGCATTCAATCATGGTAGAATAATATAGGTAGACGCATCGACTCAGCTGCTGGGACAATAAACTGTCAAACCAATTTTGGAATTGAAAATGTTGAATGAAAAATTATTTCAATTTGTAAAAATTGTTGAAAACGCGTATTATAATAACCTCCGAATGACGTCGTATGAGAAAACATATAAAAATCTAATTATATTTGAAAAGACATTTAAAATATTTTGACATATCAATGTTCCCAAGCGTTGATGCATTTACCTGTATTTTTCTACCATGCATTTTATGTCAAATACAGGGGGAAATGAGAAGAAGGCAAAGACATAGAAGTATAATGATGGGACAAGACAGAGTCAAAGTATTGTCACCAGGTGTAAATACCTCTGTTGTTACGATATCATAACAACATAATCACCAATGTTATGTTGTTTTAACAGCAAATGCAATATTCAAACGTCAGTGAAATGCAATTTTTAGTTCAAATTTTTGGTTTACAGAAAATTTTATTCTTAAAATTGCTCTGTAAAGATAATATTTATGCTAACATGTCACTGTTGTGAGCAGCGCCTCTATATATTTTTCACATTAACTATTTTTCCATTATGCATTTTGTCCAGTCTTTACCATTTTAGGTCTTTGAAGAAGGTTCCGAAACCCTTCATTCCTATAATATAAAATTAGAATAGAACCACCCCAACTGGTTGGAAAAGAATCAATAGATTAAGAAGAAGCTTCGAAAGATTCACCGTCATAGGATGATAATAACGATGATGATTGGTTAAGATTATAAGTTGAGTTTATTATACACATTGCAATACAATTTATGTCTTAAATTTAATGAAAGTGGTTAAAAAATTAAGATGGTGGCTGAGTATTGTAACAGTTGTAGGCGTTGGCCGGATGTCCGCGAATATTGTCTATTTTTGGAGATTGGAATTTCATCGGATTGGAAGTTTATGAATTTTTTGAACTCATGTGGGGTAGGTAACAAATGTGGGGTAGGTAACAAAAGTCGAAATATATAGACACCAAGCCCGATTAAAGTCCCAGAGTTTCAAAGTTTTTATTGCTTACTCGCCTCTGCAATTGCAATGGCTCCAGATGTGTGGGCATTTCAAATGAATGCATTTGAAGTAGAAGTAAATGTTCAGCATTTGTGTCTAACTTTAAGTTAAAAACTATTTTTTTTATATTTTTTGTTTATGTTTTTCATTTTAAATTAATTGTTAGAATGGCGTTTTAGTTTGTATGACAACAATGTTGTTCTTGTAAAATGTTATTTGTTGTAGCTGATGCATACACCTTATAAATACACCTTTTGGTCTGTTCAACAACTGCAAGAATGCGTAAATTGTTACTACGATAACCGAGTTTCCTTTTATGATATCGAAAAAATTGTAAAACAAGTAGAATCTTGCAGGTTCTGGAACAGTGCAATGATAATAACGGTCTGTTCTAGAACCTGCAAGAATCCACTTTTTAATTTTTTTTTCGAAATCATAAAGAGAAAATCGGTTATCCCATGGTACAATGATATAAAGGTAGGCATGGTACAATGAAGAGAAGGTAGGTCAACTTTGAAAAAATTGCAAGTGTAGAGGTCTTCCTGTTTGGCTTGTAATGTCAGAATTACTATCAAAACAATAAAAAAATCAAACAACTTGTTGCATTTACTTTGAATAAATAATTGAAAACCGCGAAAACTGAATGAAAAGTCAACACTTCTTTTCAAAACCAGGTTCTTTATATCTCTAAAGCATTATTTCGCTACAAAAACTCTAGATTTTGTCGATGCATACGATACAATAAACATTTTGAAAACATCCGAATCTGAATGTTTTCTGAACAAATTTTTTGTTATTGAAAAGAAAACACATACATAAACAAATAAAGATGACATATTAAGCCAAGAAAATAAAAAAAATGAAATCATATGGTATCATAGCCCTACCTTGATATCATTGTACCATGAAGGTAGGGCTATGATACCATATGATTTCAATTTGTTTATTGTCTTGGCGTAATATGTCATCTTTATTTGTTTATGTATGTGTTTTCTTTTCAATAACAAAAAAATTGTTCAGAAAACATTCAAATTCGGATGTTTTCAAAATGTTTATTTCATCGTATGCATCGACAAAATCTAGAGCTTTTGTAGCGAAATAATCCTTTAGAGATATATAGAACCTGGTTTTGAAATTATTTATTCAAAGTAAATGCAACAAGTTGTTTGATTTTTTATTGTTTTGATACTAATTCTGACATTACAAGCCAAACAGGTAGACCTCTATACTTGCAATTTTTTCAAAGTTGACCTACCTTCTCTTCATTGTACCATGGGTTATCCTAGTAAAATGTTGACATTCTTGCAGTTCTGGAACAAACCAATTTTTATTGCAGACTGCGTTTTTTATGAGTTCATCCCGACTGAACTTAAGCATGTCGTAAAATCACTGCTCCGAGCTGCTCTAGTTCCTTTTTCGTGCGTTTCTTAGCTCATAAACCACATATGTATATTTCATACTTTCTTTGAATGGCGATTTATATAAGTTTGCCTGCAAGCATCATAGCCAGCTAAAAATGTACTAGAATTACAATAAATCAATGTTATGTCTACTGAAAATATTGGGACTCCTCCGTTCCAGAACTGCAAGAATGTAAAAGTTGTTACTACGATAACCGATTTTACCTTTATGATATCGGAGAAAATTTTGAAACTAGTAGATTCTTGCAGATACTGGAGCAGAGCAATTGCCACCAATAAATAAATGATCAAAAGATTAATCGTGGAATTACCTTTTTGTTTCTAATTAGGTACAACAGGTTCGTAAAACTACAGAAGTGCGGCCCGAGACTATGCGCGATCTCTGTTAGAATTATTCAAAATTATATGTTCTCGACATCTTTTATTTTTAAAATGAGTTAAATAGCGTTAAAGATCTTTCGAATCCATCGCAAAACAGGTAAATATCTTCAATACGCGCCCCACAATGCACGTTTTGATAATTTTTATGTAACCAACTTTCGCTTTCGACATTTGCCACCACCACAGTTTAATCCATGTACACAAGGTAGCACACATATTTTTGCGTGAATCAATTAATAAAATGTAAATAAGTTGCAAGGTGTAATGGGAAATGCACTCCCTCACATTAAATTTTAATGGGAAATGGTGGAATAAATAAGCTAAAGTTATTTGAAATACGAAGCAATTAATATTACAGATTACACTGTATAGAAAACAGACTCCCGTCTGTGATATATGAATACATGGTGGTACAATGAACTGTCAAAACATTTCTGGAATTCAATTTTTGAATGAAAAAATATTTAAAGTTGTTGAAATCCATATATCGTAACTATTATTTTTTTATTTGGCCAGAATGTTATAATATTTTTGGAATATCAATGTTTACAAGTGCTAATGAATCTACCTGTATAGAACGGGTCTATAAATATACATTTGACAATGATGTGTTGTCAACTGAATAATTTTTAAGTATAACAGCAAATGCAGTTCCTTCATACGAAATCAGTTTTAATTCTTATTAAAAATTCACCCAATTTGACCAATTCTAAAACAAAAAAAAAAATTAAATAAATAAATAAACTTGTATCAGATCCAAATTTCAATTTCGGTGTCAACTGAAGCTTACTTTCTAAGGACAATCACGATGATTTGAAATTTCCACTTCTGAAGATGAATGAACCTCTCCAACATTTGAGTAAATCGTTGTTCTTGCACATCATCTAAATGAATCTTTGTCCCTAATTTGAAACCACTTCATGCATGTGTTTTGTTACAGAACCTGCAATAATCATGGTAAAATCATGCGATCATTTATTTACATTTTTTTTTTCAAAATTATTCATTTGCCCACATTTCATTGCCAAAATTTATATTGATAAATCCATTGTATACACACAAATAGAGATGGGAACCTGCTTTCTATGCCATGTAATTTGACAGAAAATGCTTATTTGAAATGACTTTACCTTCTTAAGTTTACCATGGCAATAATCTACAAGTTTTCAATTTATTTCGATGCAAGAATTAAAATTCGGTTATAAAAACTTTTACGTTCTTGCAGTTCTGGAACAGAGCTATAATTAATCTTTCCTAGCATGGTACAATGAAGGGAAGGTAGATCAACTTTGAAAAAATTGCAAGTATAGAGGTCTACCTGTTTGGCTTGAAATGTCAGAATTACTATCAAAACAATAAAAAAATCAAACAACTTGTTGCATTTACTTTGAATAAATAATTGAAAACCGCGAAAACTGAATGAAAAGTCAACACTTCTTTTCAAAACCAGGTTCTATATATCTCTAAAGGATTATTTCGCTACAAAAACTCTAGATTTTGTCGATACATACGATAAAATAAACATTTTGAAAACATCCGAATTTGAATGTTTTCTGAACTATTTTTTTGTTATTGAAAAGAAAACACATACATAAACAAATAAAGATGACATATTAAGCCAAGAAAATAAAAAAATTGAAATATTATGGTATCATAGCACTACCTCGATATCATTGTACCATGAAGGTAGGGCTATGATACCATATGATTTCAATTTTTTTATTGTCTTGGCTTAATATGTCATCTTTATTTGTTTATGTATGTGTTTTCTTTTCAATAACAAAAAAATTGTTCAGAAAACATTCAAATTCGGATGTTTTCAAAATGTTTATTTCATCGTATGCATCGACAAAATCTAGAGCTTTTGTAGCGAAATAATCCTTTAGAGATATATAGAACCTGGTTTTGAAATTATTTATTCAAAGTAAATGCAACAAGTTGTTTGATTTTTTTATTGTTTTGATACTAATTCTGACATTACAAGCCAAACAGGTAGACCTCTATACTTGCAATTTTTTCAAAGTTGACCTACCTTCTCTTCATTGTACCATGGGTTATCCTAGTAAAATGTTGACATTCTTGCAGTTCTGGAACAAACCAATTTTTATTGCAGACTGCGTTTTTTTATGAGTTCATCCCGACTGAACTTAAGCATGTCGTAAAATCACTGCTCCGAGCTGCTCTAGTTCCTTTTTCGTGCGTTTCTTAGCTCATAAACCACATATGTATATTTCATACTTTCTTTGAATGGCGATTTATATAAGTTTGCCTGCAAGCATCATAGCCAGCTAAAAATGTACTAGAATTACAATAAATCAATGTTATGTCTACTGAAAATATTGGGACTCCTCCGTTCCAGAACTGCAAGAATGTAAAAGTTGTTACTACGATAACCGATTTTACCTTTATGATATCGGAGAAAATTTTGAAACTAGTAGATTCTTGCAGATACTGGATCAGAGCAATTGCCACCAATAAATAAATGATCAAAAGATTAATCGTGGAATTACCTTTTTGTTTCTAATTAGGTACAACAGGTTCGTAAAACTACAGAAGTGCGGCCCGAGACTATGCGCGATCTCTGTTAGAATTATTCAAAATTATATGTTCTCGACATCTTTTATTTTTAAAATGAGTTAAATAGCGTTAAAGATCTTTCGAATCCATCGCAAAACAGGTAAATATCTTCAATACGCGCCCCACAATGCACGTTTTGATAATTTTTATGTAACCAACTTTCGCTTTCGACATTTGCCACCACCACAGTTTAATCCATGTACACAAGGTAGCACACATATTTTTGCGTGAATCAATAAAATGTAAATAAGTTGCAAGGTGTAATGGGAAATGCACTCCCTCACATTAAATTTTAATTGGAAATGGTGGAATAAATAAGCTAAAGTTATTTGAAATACGAAGCAATTAATATTACAGATTACACTGTATAGAAAACAGACTCCCGTCTGTGATATATGAATACATGGTGGTACAATGAACTGTCAAAACATTTCTGGAATTCAATTTTTGAATGAAAAAATATTTAAAGTTGTTGAAAGCCATATATCGTAACTATTATTTTTTTATTTGGCCAGAATGTTATAATATTTTTGGAATATCAATGTTTACAAGTGCTAATGAATCTACCTGTATAGAACGGGTCTATAAATATACATTTGACAATGATGTGTTGTCAACTGAATAATTTTTAAGTATAACAGCAAATGCAGTTCCTTCATACGAAATCAGTTTTAATTCTTATTAAAAATTCACCCAATTTGACCAATTCTAAAACAAAAAAAATTAAATAAATAAATAAACTTGTATCAGATCCAAATTTCAATTTCGGTGTCAACTGAAGCTTACTTTCTAAGGACAATCACGATGATTTTAAATTTCCACTTCTGAAGATGAATGAACCTCTCCAACATTTGAGTAAATCGTTGTTCTTGCACATCATCTAAATGAATCTTTGTCCCTAATTTGAAACCACTTCATGCATGTGTTTTGTTACAGAACCTGCAATAATCATGGTAAAATCATGCGATCATTTATTTACATTTTTTTTTCAAAATTATTCATTTGCCCACATTTCATTGCCAAAATTTATATTGATAAATCCATTGTATACACACAAATAGAGATGGGAACCTGCTTTCTATGCCATGTAATTTGACAGAAAATGCTTATTTGAAATGACTTTACCTTCTTAAGTTTACCATGGCAATAATATACAAGTTTTCAATTTATTTCGATTCAAGAATTAAAATTCGGTTATAAAAACTTTTACGTTCTTGCAGTTCTGGAACAGAGCTATAATTAATCTTTCCTAGCATGGTACAATGAAGGGAAGGTAGATCAACTTTGAAAAAATTGCAAGTATAGAGGTCTACCTGTTTGGCTTGAAATGTCAGAATTACTATCAAAACAATAAAAAAATCAAACAACTTGTTGCATTTACTTTGAATAAATAATTGAAAACCGCGAAAACTGAATGAAAAGTCAACACTTCTTTTCAAAACCAGGTTCTATATATCTCTAAAGGATTATTTCGCTACAAAAACTCTAGATTTTGTCGATACATACGATAAAATAAACATTTTGAAAACATCCGAATTTGAATGTTTTCTGAACAATTTTTTTGTTATTGAAAAGAAAACACATACATAAACAAATAAAGATGACATATTAAGCCAAGAAAATAAAAAAATTGAAATATTATGGTATCATAGCCCTACCTCGATATTATTGTACCATGTATCCTAGCTTCTTTTTTGTCGATATTATAAAGGAAAAATCAGTTATCGTAGTACACTTTTTATATTCTTGTGGGTTTTGGAACAGAGCAACTGTATTGGGTAGATAGGTAGGTAGATGCATCAACGCTTGGGAGCATTGATATGTCAAAAAATTGTAAATGTTTTTTTCAAATATGAGTAGATTTTTAAATGTTTTCTTATATGACGTCATTAGGAGGTTATTATAATTCGAGTATTTTAACAATTTTTGCAAATTTAAATAATATTTCATTCAACATTTTCAATTCCAAAATTGGTTTGACAGGTCATTGTCCCAGCAGCTGTGTCGATGCGTCTAACTATATTCTTCTACCATGAGCGACACTTTAAATATATCGCCGATATTTGAAAATGTACACGGCATTGAAGTTTACAAAGAGTTTGGTCTGGGTTTTAAGAAAACAATATTATTGTGTTATATCACGTATATAGATTGGGGATGTATTTTCGAAAATATTTATTTAACGTGAGTGTGCTTCAAAATATTTTGAAATTAAATTTATATCATATTTTAGATTAGGAGGCGGTACTCTACAACCAGGAAATCAAACCGATACAATGTGAAACCAGATCCACATGTGATCCAACACGACTATATTGGTCCCCCAGATAAAGACTCAAACATACGCCCGTTTGTTCGATGTGTTCATCCTAACGAAACATACACAGAAAAAAAATTAAGACTGAAGCGTATTGAGGTCGAAGAATGGAACCATTCGTTTTGGGCGAGACACAATAAAAGGTTTTATGAAGTAAGTCGATATATTCATACATGTTTCGGTAGTAGTGAAGGGAAGAAATTAGCTAATTATAATTTTGAATATTTGCCGTTGCAATCGGCATTTTTCCCTGACTGCGATTTTTCCCGTAGGGGGAAATACCGTTTATTCAGATATTTGAGGTTCTAACGAACCGATATTTACAGTACGGGTAACATATGAAATATCTTTAGAATAGCTCTGAATGGTAATATCAGGCTGTTTTTTTAACAGTATTTTTTCATTCGTTTGGAATTTTGGCGAAAGTATATATATATATATATATATATATATATATATATATATATATAATATATATATATATATATAATATATATATATATATATATATATATATATATATATATATAATATATATATATATATATAATATATATATATATATATATATATATATATATATATATATATATATATATGTTTTTTGTGCATGTTTTTTCTGACATTGACAACCCCTCTTCTAATTTTGTAACGAAAAAATACCTTTGTTTTGAACAGAAATTGGCCCTTTGTTACGGAATCACGCAAAAATTGTATGCGTATAATAAGTAGTTAACATATGAACCATTTTAATACATCAAGATTTTGCTGGCGCGTCTTGATGTTCCATATTCTTCAAATGTTTTCTCGATATTTTTCCATTTTTATTTTACAAATTTTGATAAATCTTGAATTTATTGGGTTTGTCACTACCAGCACAACTCCTAATAAAATTAATTTAAAAAAATAAAAGATGATAGTTATGGAAACACTGACATATCAAAGCTTGTCGAGAATGGACGAGAGCTTCCAAAATATTTATAAAAACCCAAAGCAACTCAATGTTTTTAGTGGACTTTTGTCACGTCACAAAGGAAAAAACACATGTAGTTATATACAGTTACACGAATACGTCGGAAGTGCGAAATTTCAAAGTTAACAATTTCAACATTGACAATTGAAAAATTTATTTTTTTGTGTGATGAAAATTGAAAAAAAAAATAATACAACAAATATGAATGTTTGTTCCATCTACAAAGTAAATGGGTTGAGAGGTGAAATCCATTTTTTACGTGTTTTTTTTTAATTATTTAATTATTAAGGCAAATTAAATTATATATACCTATCCAACTAATGGACATATTGTTCTGAGCAATATCAGAAAGTCCATATTTGCGTACCAGAAGTATTTGAAAACCGCACCAAAAACAGAAAATAATGTAAACATCAATGATTATGCGCACAATATTAAATTTAGTAAAAACAGTAAAAATCACTTATTTCACGAAAACTTCACACTTTTGGAAATTATTGAAACATGTTTAGTTGAAGAATCACTGTTTAAGTATGGTTTTTCTGTTTTACTTGTATGCAGCAGTACTTCCGCTCAAACTCGAGTGATTTTTCATTTTCTAATTGAATTCGAGCAAAATTACCCACAAATAACCTCATTATATGTTTGTTATTTAGCGATACCCATATAAACAGATAAACATCGGATTTGGTACGCTAACTTTCGGGTCGAATAAATGGGTAATCAGTTAGCAACCATTTATTGCCGCCACAAAAAAATTACTTTGCGCAATCATGTTTAAAATACCTACCAGTGATAAATATTTCAAAGGAATCTGAGCCTAGCCCCTGAAGTCAACATAAGGAAATGCTACTCAGACCTGCTTGATAGGCTTCTGGATCTAGATACGTTCGCATACGTTATGACATTATTCCGTCTAGAGTGCGAGGAAATAGGAAAGTATAGTTTCAAAGTTCCGGAGATATCAATTCACTTTGGGAAAAGCCATTTTTCACTATACGGTGTTTGGCTTTCTTCTTCCGTAATTCGGCGTACAACTGGCATCCACACATACAGTCGAATACCCAACATTTCAAACTTGACCGGAGGGTAGTTGTCGCGACATCCTCCAGCAATGTGATGCGGTTGACTGCATCAAATGCCTTCGATAATTCAAAGGACTACCAACACTGTTCTATTACACGGCTTGCTTTGGGTTGTTCCTTGACTTATATATGAATATTGTTTTTAACACATTTTTTGTTTATTAAATCTTTAATAGGATATTTTAATGAAAAGAACCATGAGTTTTCATATCTTAATAATATAATTTTTTAATAGAGGGATGCAAATACAATTACCTTATATTTTTAATGTTTAATTTTTTTCTCTTTCATTTAAATTAATAAAAATAATTAAATAAATAAATTAATTTAATGAGTAATTCAGTTTCGTTTAGATATACTTATATTTGAGTAATTCACGGACTTACGGATACAATGATTAGATTGGTTAGTTATAGATTTCTTCACTACACATTTAACTCGACTGTTTCTTTGTAATTTATTAACATTAGAGGCACTAGCTGTGCTCAATAGCTGTATACCATCTTGATTGCAATCTTATACGAAAGAACTTTCTATTCTAATATTACAAAAGAACGTGTAAGAACAAATAACCAATTCATTTAGTTTTTTTCTGGTTTCATGGCGCGGTGTGTTGTTTCCGCGTAAGTCTGGACCTGACCAGTTATTTTACGGCATATCTTGTGAAACTTGTACATTGAAGGTTTTTATTGTGGACAATGTTCGTAACTTAGAGGAAATGTATAGTGCTTGCACTTACGGATATTCTCCATTTTGTAAAGAAAATCTACGTGGGTTTGTAGTCTTTCCAACGCTATCATAGGATCTGTTCTTAGGCTTATAAAAATTTTTTTGTTTTTCTTTTTTTTCGTGATTTTATTTAAAATTCTTTTTCTTTTGCTTTATGGGGGTTTTAGTGCAATGTAGCTTTTTAGTATAGATTTAATTTACATAGTTTATTTTAAGTAGTTTTTTTAATAATTCTTAAGTTTTAATTCAGTTAAATTAGCACTTAAATTTCATTTCACTAGAGTTTAAGTTTGTTATATATGTGTTTTGTACACTTCTATTCGTTCTTTGTTGTATTTGTATATTTGTAATAGCAATATTTGTTCTTTGAAATTATGTATGTATAATGTTCTTGTTTATGTTGTAAATTCACTGTCTGATGTTTCTGTTTTTTATTAGAATTAATATTATTATTTTGATTTTTTTTACTCACACTTGCACTATCACTCGGGGGGAAAACTTGAGACTTGCGGTCGCGTGTGAAATTCGGTGAGAACTAACTATTGTCCAATTTACATCGTCACATCAAACCTGTTTTGGCTGTTGACGATGCTTAGTTATTGGAATTAAGCATTGGAATTTACCGGTGGCTGCATCAATGTATGTGTGTAGGTGCATATGTTATTTACATCATTTTGTTTTGATGTAATCTATGCAGCCGCCGGTAAATACCCAACCAACAGTGTTGTGCAAAATAGCGTAAATTTATGAACATTTTCTGGGCCCCGAACGACATCATTTGTAATATACCATAAAAAATCCTCGTTCTTCAGTTCCTCGGCATATTCTTGATTGGCCCAGCAAACACGTAGCCCAGTTGAGTATTGTAGGTCCGGACATCGCCAATTCCTGCTGCTGTACACCCATCTTTCCTTATGGCGGAGTACGTGTCCGCTCCCAGTTCCACATCGATCGGACTATTTCCTCTGGGATCAGGGTCAGCTAAGGCGTAGCTCGTGAAGCATCTAGTGGGGTCTTTCAGTATTGGCCAATAACTTGGTCTCTCATGGCGTTGGCGGGGTCTGGCGTCGGATCGGCTTCGCTGACGTCTTTCAGGGGATGTGGAACTGGGACGATGGATTGGCCATATGGGTCGATTGGCGCTTCTTGCTGTGGGACGGGCAGGTGAGTCTTGGTTACGGTTGCGATCGTCCAGACGGCAGTCCTGGTTAGGCAAGTAAGCGGCCATATCTGAAAAGAAATTAAGGCGAGTACTAAATTCTTTTTTGAGTGAGAATCCGACTAGTCAGTCGGAAAACAATTTGACAATTTTTGTTATGGGTCTGCTAATGTTGCCACTTGCCGTCCGTATGTCTACAAACCTGGTATTTTGATCACTGCCTGGATACGTTTTTTTCGATACGACCTAACTTCCATTCATGCGAAGCCAATTTTTTACGACAACTAGATCTCCTTCTTTGATGTTCTCCTTTTCATATTTCCACTTAGTTCTTCTGTGAAGTTCGTGAAGATATTCTAACTTCCATCTGTTACAAAAATATTGCGAAATAACTTTAAGGCTTTTCCAACGATTGACTAAGCATAGAACTGTATCTGAAATGTCTGGTTCAGCTGGGATAAGAATAGGTGTTCCTATTAAGAAATGACCAGGTGTCAAAGGGGAAAGGTGGTTTGGGTCGTCGCTAGCAGGACTTAAGGGTCGTGAGTTGAGACAGCCTTCAATTCTTGATAAAATTGTTGTAAATTCTTCAAAGGTAAAATTCATTTTTGGGATACTTTTTCGCAAATGAATTTTAAATGATTTGACGCCAGCTTCCCATAAGCCGCCCATGTGCGGAGCACCAGGAGGAATAAATTTCCATGTAAGATTTTGAGTGAAATTATTTTGAATTGTGCTATTTTGAATATTCTTCATGAAAGCAAATCTATCTCGCTTTAATAGATCAACCGCTCCCACAAAATTAGTTCCGTTGTCCGAAAATATACAAGCCGGACAACCTCGCCTTTTGTTTTATAAGCGACTTGAGTCCAAATATCCAGAATTCGGACTTTAATACTCGGGTCATTAATTGATTACCCCCGTGTAAAGTAACCTTATGAGTGAATTCGACTAATAATTTGCTAAGTTTGCGCCATGTGGTATTAATATAGGGTGACGTTCGCTATAGGTAAGGGCTGGCGATTGTACCAATCGTCCATTTGCTCTAACAATAACCTTTGAGTCTATAAACGGGTTGAGTGTCAACAGAGGACTTGAAGGAGAAATTTGAGTCTTTTTCATAAGTGAGTTGTATTCGTCTGCAAACACGAATTTCTGGGTACGAATTATGCAAGATCGTTTTCCATCTTGGATTACATCTGAAGTAAGGTCTTTTGATGAGGTGCGAAGGTGTTGCCTATTTGCTCCAGTATTTTTCCAGAGTCTTAGGGCATATGCGTATGATCGATAAACTTTAGATAAAGAGGAGAATTTTTTTAAAGGGTCATCTCTTTCCGCGAAAAGAGTCATGACTTTTGCCGTTTTGGCTTCCAAATTTGTGTCATTTGGGATTTCATACGATGACCAACGGTCTTTTGGCATTCTGAGCCATTGGGGTCCCTGCCACCAGAGATCACTATTCTTTAGCTCTGCGGGAGAACACCCACGGCTCGCAATATCCGCTGGATTATTTTCCGAATTAACATGTCTCCAATTTTCTTGTCCAACATTATCGGCAATTTCCGAGACTCTATTTCCAACAAATGTGCTCCAATGACAAGGAGGCTTCTTTAACCATGCTAAGACGATGGTAGAATCGGTCCAAAATTGTGTCGAATATTTTGATATTTTTAGGCTATTTACAATGGATTTAACTAACTTGGAGAGTAATACTGCCCCGCATAACTCGAGTCTGGGTATTGATAGTTTTTTAATAGGAGCGACACGACCTAATATATAAAGTGGCTCCATACGCGCTTTCCGACGCGTCACAAAATCCATGAATCTCTACAGAACCATCTAGCGTGTATTGAATCCATGGAGGAACTCTGAGATATTCAATATTTTTGCTATTTTTAACGAAATTGTTCCAGTTCATCTGAGTTATTGGCTTCAATTTATCATCCCAGTCAATTTTGTCTAGTTGTCTTGTTGCATTATTAAATTGGCTACGACGACCACCGGTGCCAGCCATCCACATGGGTCAAACAATTTAGCTATAGTTGATAAAACTTCTCTTTTTGAAGAAATATTTTTATTTTCCATTGAAGGTGGTGTAAACGAAAAATAATCGCCTGAGATATTTTGTACCATTTTGTGATCATTTGACGCCCATTTCATTAGTGTAAAACCAGCAGAGTTTAAAGCGGCAGTTAAATCCTTTCGGGCTTTGATCGATTCGTCTTCAGTGTGGCCGCCAGCTAATACATCGTCAACATATAAATTATTCAAAATTATATTTGCTGCTCTAGGATATGATTCTTTTACATCTTCTGCTAGTTTAAGAAGAGTTCTCAATGCTAAATATGGTGCGCAGTTAACACCAAATGTAACTGTTGGCAGCTCATAATCCTCTACTGGGTTTTCCGGAGACGTTCTAAATAGAATTCTTTGATATTTTGTTTGCTTTGAATCCAAAAGTATTTGGCGATACATCTTTGTTATATCTGCATTGATGGCATATTGATGGCCATTTTTAAATTTGCAATACTAAATCCTGTTGGAGATTGGGTCCAGGATATAGCATGTCATTGAGACTTGTTTTGTTTGATGAAGGACAAGAAGCGTTAAATGCGACTCTTAACTTCGTTGTGAGTCGATCTGGTTTTATCACTGCGTGATGTGGTAGATAATAATTTGACATTTTATCTATTTCATTCGGATTGATTTTCCTCATATGACCAAGTTCTAAGTATTCAAGTATTGAGGCATCATATTGTTCTTTGATCTCTGGTGTTTACATAAGTTTTTTCTCCATTCTGTAGAATTGAGCTAGAGCAATGTTTCGGGAAGTCCCCAATTCTTCGCATTTTTTGAATGGGAGAGTCACCACATATCTTCCATCATTGTTTCGTATTGTTGTTTCAATGAAGTTTTGTTCACAAAATTGGTCTTCTTCTGACCCTAAAACTTTTTTAGGGGTCTCTTTCACCTCCCAAAAACGTGTAAGTACTTTCTCTATTGAAGTTGTATTTAGAAGTGATATTTGTTTTCGTTGAAGGATGCTTCCTGGTATGGGTCCTCCAAATATCCATCCAAATTTGGTTTTTTTGTGTTAAAATTGATCCAAATGTTTTCATTGGAGTTCCAGTTGTGAATATTAATGGTCCTATGTCCATTCCAATAAGTAAATCGATTGGTTGATTGACGTAAAATTTCGGGTCAGTCAGTTCTAATGCTGTTACATCTCGAAGTTGTGACTCATCTAAGTTTTGTGGTGGTAGATTTGAAGGTAAGTTCTTTAAAACTGGAGGCCAGACTTCCAGTGTAAAGCTAGGGTCGTATTTGGATCTCATAGTGAACAAGCAAGATTTCGTTGAAGTCTCAGAAATAAATTGACTTAAGCCAGTGACGTTAACTAAGTTGTTCCGTGTAGGTAATTTCAAAAAGTTTTTCATCTTTTCCGAAATAAATGTGGATTGTGATCCTGAGTCTATTAGAGCTCGGGCATCGTAAAGTCGTCCTTTAGTTTCAATTTGTACTATTGCTGTGAAAAGTAGTGTTCCTCCAGATTGTCGCTCACAAATTTGCTTATCTTGGAGGGTCAAAGTAGTAATAGTAGTTGGTTCTAGGTTTGTAGTGGACTGTATTTGATTTGTAAGAGCGGCAGCACTAGTACTAGGTCGTGCTTCCACTCGAGCTAGGTATGAGTTAGTTGTTTGGGTTTCCGTTCCCTTGTGTAACAAAGTGTTGTGTTTCATAGTACAAATACGGCAGCCAAAGCGACCTTTGCAATCCTTTACTCCGTGATTTGATTACAAGCAATTGTAGCATAAGTGTGATGTTTTCACGATGTGAGTTCTGTCATTCACACTCTTTTTTAAAAATTCGCTGCAATCTCTGATGAAATGATTTGATTTGCAGACTTGACATGTTTGAATATTTTTCTGTTTATTTTGTTGAGGAAATATTACATTAGTAGGGCTTCCTCCAAAGTTGTTTGTATTTTTTGAGACATTTGTTTGAAATGTTTTCAAAAATCTAGGCGTGTGATTGTTAGTTGGTTTTTGTTGAGCAAATTTCGATGTAGAGGGCTTTATGTTACCAACTGATTCCAAAGTTTTGAATTTGTTTGTTAAGAAAGCGTCAAACTGTTCCCATTTTGGAATTTGTTTACAATCGCTTAATGAATTCTCGTTCTAAAAAGCCTCTAGGTAATCTTGTTGAACAAATGTATATTAAAATCGGTTCCCATCCTTTAACATCGACATCAAGCATCCCCAGTGTCTGAAAGCTGCTATTAACAGTGCGTTGTAGTTTTTGAATAGAGTGACTTGATTCAGTAGAAACTCCAGGTAGATTAAAAAGTGTCTTGATTTCTTCATTAATTTGCATTCTTTTATTCTCGTAACGATCTGTGAGATTTTTCCATGCTAATGTAAATCCCTCATTAGTTAGTGGGACATGTGAAATAATTTCTCTAGCTTCTCCTGCTGTCTTTTGCGTTAAATGGAATAATTTTTCGACATTGCTTAATTTTGAGTTGTTTATGTAAATTGCTGAAAATAGATCTCTGAAGGTAGGCCATTCCCTATAACCACCTTTTTTGTACGATCCCATGGTATCCATATAGTGCTTCTTCAGTTTATTTTTATCGATCGGCTTCCTCTTCTGGAACATAATCCCGGCAGTCTATGTATGCTCTTTTGACCTGGTCCCATACAGAGTCCAACTCCATCCTTGTTGTTTGCACTGAAAAAATTGAAATATAATCCAAAAGATCGTTGACGCAATTTGTGAATTTATCGCTTAAAGTTTTATCCATTTTGAAAATTTTGTTGGTTTACAAAAAAGAAAAGTTGCCCAATGAAAAAGACTAACTTGTCGACGAAAACGATCTTATCTTATTGGTTTGAGTCAAATTATATTTCGTTTCCATTCGAGAACTTCAAAATTTTTGAAAAATTTTCTTTGTATTTGGCGCCGGAATGATTTGATTAAAAATGTTTGTTGGGAGTCAACTTTTAGCCAAAATGAGCAAAAAGGAAAATAAAATCTCTTAAAGTCCACTAACAGGAGGATTTTATTTTTGCGAATCGACGAATAATACAAAAGTTTTTAAAACAAGCGCGTAAACGGGAATTGCAAAAACAGAAACTACCAGAGATGTATTGCTGCAATAAACGATTTTTTTTCTTTCAAAAAATCACGAGAGTCTAGTTTGATAGTCAAAGAAAAGTTTAATGTTCCAAAAAGTTTCAGAAAATCCAAAAAAAAATGTGTGGGTTGTCGAACAAAAGTTTCAAAATTTTTACTTAAAATCGCTTAATATCCTATGACAGGAGGATTTTATTTTATAAAAGCCAATAACTTTGATTATTGCTGTGAAAATTTGTCTGATTCTAAATTCGCCAAATTTTTCGATAAAATTCGCAGCGAGAGTTAGAGAAAATTATGTATGTATAAATCCAAATATTTCAGCAAAAATATTTCAAACAAATAATTTGGGTCAAAAATCCAAAACTTGAGCAGAAATTTCCAAAAAATTTGATTTGGGTCAAGGTCCAAATATTTCAGCGGAAAATTTTATGTCCCAGCACAATATTTCAAAAGAACATAATTTGGGTCAAAATCCAAATATTTTTAGCAAAGAATTCACGAAAGTGCAAAAAATGTCTATGAAGAAAATTTTCCCAAAAGGTATACCAGCAAAATATTTCTTTTGGGTCACAGAAAGATTTTTAAGCTCCGTAGAGCAATAGATATTGTGCTAAATGGGAAAAACGGTTAAAATTAGAATAAAAATAAAAAAATGTAAATATATGGGATCGATCTGTCCACCAGACTCCGATATAAAATTTGTTCTCCAAAATTTCAAATAAATTTGTAGTTTATGTTTCAAATGTATGTCTGTCCACCAGTCGCTTGCTTGTTTGCCAACGTTTTTTTCCAAAAATTTCAAAAAAATTGTATGTTTTGTATCACATTTATGTCTGTCCACCAGACGCTTGCTTGATTTCCAAATTTTTATCAAAAATTTTAGGTTATTTTTCGTCTGTCCACCAGACGCTATTTTTTAAACGGGTTTTATTTACTCGTTTTTGTATTCGGGTGACGCCAAATTTTTCCAAAAAAAAATATGGCGATAATATATTGACGCTTTGTTTCCAAAAAATGGCTCCAAATGGAAAATTTTCCTTCACAGTTTCTGAGTGGGCAACTAGCAGCTTTGAATATGGGTCAAAGTGTTATTGCAAATTATGAGAACATGCGGGTCAATGCAAATATTGAAGATTTGCCTTCTCCCGAAATGCCCTTTTGTGTCAAAAAAGAAATTGCAACGAGTACTCACTTTGATGTTGGTTTTTGGGTCTCGTTTGTTGTACATTGGTTGTTGTTGTTGTGCTGCGTGTGTCCTTCCGCTTCTGCTTTGCTGCTGTTTCCACAAATTTCGGGTTGGAAAATAAAATCTCTTAAAGTCCACTTACAGGAGGATTTTATTTTTGCGAATCGACGAATAATACAAAAGTTTTTAAAACAAGCGTGTAAACGAGAATTGCAAAAACAGAAACTACCAGAGATGTAATGCTGCAATAAACGATTTTTTTCTTTCAAAAAATCACGAGAGTCTAGTTTGATAGTCAAAGAGAAGTTTAATGTTCCAAAAAGTTTCAGAAAATCCAAAAAAAATTTCAACGAAGGAAAAAATGTGTGTTGGGTTGTCGAACAAAAGTTTCAAAATTTTTACTTAAAATCGCTTAATATCCTATGACAGGAGGATTTTATTTTATAAAAGCCAATAACTTTGATTATTGCTGTGAAAATTTGTCTGATTCTAAATTCGCCAAATTTTTCGATAAAATTGGCAGCGAGAGTTAGAGAAAATTATGTATGTATAAATCCAAATATTTCAGCAAAAATATTTCAAACAAATAATTTGGGTCAAAAATCCAAAAACTTGAGCAAAAATTTCCAAAAAATTTGATTTGGGTCAAGGTCCAAATATTTCAGCGGAAAATTTTATGTCCCAGCAAAATATTTCAAAAGAACATAATTTGGGTCAAAACCTAAATATTTTCAGCAAAGAATTCACGAAAGTGCAAAAAATGTCTATGAAGAAATTTTTCCCAAAAGGTATACCAGCAAAATATTTCTGCGTAAAATGTAAGAAATTAATTTTGGGTTACAGAAAGATTTTTAAGCTCCTTAGAGCAATAGATATTGTGCTAAATGGGAAAAACGGTTAAAATTAGAATAAAAATAAAAAATTGTAAATATATGGGATCGATCTGTCCACCAGACTCCGATATAAAATTTGTTCTCCAAAATTTCAAATAAATTTGTAGTTTATGTTTCAAATGTATGTCTGTCCACCACTCGCTTGCTTGTTTGCCAATTTTTTTTACAAAAATTTCAAAAAAATTGTATGTTTTGTATCACATTTATGTCTGTCCACCAGACGCTTGCTTGATTTCCAAATTTTTATCAAAAATTTTAGGTTATTTTTCGTCTGTCCACCAGACGCTATTATTTTAAACGTGTTTTATTTACTCGTTTTTGTATTCGGGTGACGCCAAATTTTTCCAAAAAAAATATGGCGATAATATATTGACGCTTTGTTTCCCAAAAATGGCTCCAAATGGAAAATTTTCCTTCACAGTTTCTGAGTGGGCAACTAGCAGCTTTGAATATGGGTCAAAGTGTTATTGCAAATTATGGGAACATGCGGGTCAATGCAAATATTGAAGATTTGCCTGCTCCCGAAATGCCCTTTTGTGTCAAAAAAGAAATTTCAACGAGTACGCACTTTGATGTTGGGTTTTGGGTCTCGTTTGTTGTACCTTGGTTGTTGTTGTTGTGCTGCGTGTGTCCGTCCGCTTCTCCTTTGCTGCTGTTTCCACAAATTTCGGCTTGTTGCTCTTTGTGTCACTGTATATTCTTTAAAAAAATTAATGTCACTTGTTGTTGTAAATTTTTTTGTAAATTGTATATTTATTTTAAATTGAAGAAAAAATTAATTTTTCTACAATTTTAAAAACTTTAATTTTTTGTAGCACTGTGTAGCTTCACTTTTGTTGCTGTGCAAAGTCTATTTTTTGTTAATTATTTATTTTTTTCCAATTTTCTTTTTTAAAAATTTAATTTTTTTCTTTGCACTTATTTTTTACACCCGCTGTTATTTTGTTCTTTTAATCACTGTTCTTGTGTTTGTCTGCCCACTCACAAATTGTTCTTACTTTGTTTTTAATAATTTAAAAAACTTTCACTTTTTGATCCGGCTCTGGACGACCAAATGTTCTTAGGCTTACCTTTTTTGCCTTTTAACCTTTTTTTAATTATAACAATTTTTGGTTTTTCTTTTATTTCGTGATTTTATTTAAAATTCTTTTTCTTTAGCTTTATGGGGGTTTTAGTGCAATGTAGCTTTTAAATATAGATTTAGTTTTACATAGTTTATTTTAAGTAGTTTTTATTTAATAATTCTTAAGTTTTAATTCAGTAGTTCATAAGTTTTTAATTAGGTAAATTAGTAGTTAAATTTCATTTCACTAGAGTTTAATTTTTTTATATAGTTGTTTTTAATATGTGTGTTTTGTACAATTTTATTCGTTCTTTGTTGTATTTGTATATTTGTAATAGCAATATTTGTTCTTTGAAATTATGTATGTAAAATGTTCTTGTTTATGTTGTAAATTCACTGTTTGATGTTTCTGTTTTTTATTCGAATTAATATTATTATTTTGACTTTTTTTCACTCACACTTGCACTTATCACTCGGGGGGGAAAACTTGAGACTTGTGGTCGCGTGTAAAATTCGGTGAGAACTAACTATTGTCTAATTTGCATCGTCACATCAAACCTGTTTTGGCTGTTGACGATGCTTAGTTATTGGAATTCAGCATTGGAATTTACCGGTGGCTGCATCAATGTATGTGTGTAGGTGCATATATTATTTACATCATTTTGTTTTGATGTAATCTATGCAGCCGCCGGTAAATACCCAACCAACAGTGTTGGGCAAAATTGCGTAAATTTATGAACAGGATCCTTGTATATATTAATGAATGGCATAACATCAGAAAGTGTTGAAATGTGATTTTCATTTGTTGCGAGCATATCTGTAGTAAATATTACGTAGAGAATTGGATATAAAATGCTACCCTGTTCAACTCCAGCCATTATTTTTTTTCGAACTTGAAAGAAAGTCTTTCGATTTAATAACAAATGTACATTTCGATAAATAGCTACAAAAGAGGTTATCGGTTATGTTATAGGTTATGTGCTTTCTTTTGGTAGAGTTTCACATTTTTTTTTATAGAATTCCAAGATGCCAAACTCTGTCAAAGGAAATGTCTATAAATAACAATATGAATTCCTTTCAAATGTCATTCTAATTTTTGTGGCTATGCGTGGCACTGTCTAAATGCGAGTTGGTGGACGGGTATAATGTTACTAGATATAGGGGCTAACATTATTAGTAATTTTATTTCGAACAACTTTGAGAGCATAGATAGAACACTGATTGGTTTATATAATTTGACCTCCGTTGGATCTTCGGCTTCGGAGTCATAACTATTTCCATGTTAAATATGGATAACAATTGTTTAAAAGCCGTAATAGGTAATTTCTTGAATGTGGTGTCCGTTGGAGTTGCAATTTTCGAATTTCGATGAAAGGAAAGTTGTGCTGAATTGTCATGTTTCTGTTCAATTATGACGATTTTTTCGAAATTCGACAAAATATCTAAAATATGTATAAAAATTGAAGGCAATTACATATATTCGAAAAAAAAAAATAATATTTTACACCATCTTGATAGCAATCTTATACGAAAGAACTTTCTATTCTAATATAATAAAAGAACGTGTAACAACAAATAACCAATTCATTTAGGTTTTTTTTTTCTGGTTTTATTGGCGCGATATGTTGTTTCCATGTAAGTTAGGTCCATTCCGACTTATTTTACGGCATAGTTTGTGGAACTTGTACATTGAAGGTTTTTATTGTCGACAATATTCGTATCTTAGAGCAAATGTATAGTGCTTGCATTTACGGATATTCCCCATTTTGTAAAGAAAATCTACGTGGGTTTGTAGTCTTTCCAACGCTATCATAGGATCTGTTCTTAGGCTTATAAAAATTTTTTTGTTTTTCTTTTTTTTCGTGATTTTATTTAAAATTCTTTTTCTTTTGCTTTATGGGGGTTTTAGTGCAATGTAGCTTTTTAGTATAGATTTAATTTACATAGTTTATTTTAAGTAGTTTTTTTAATAATTCTTAAGTTTTAATTCAGTTAAATTAGCACTTAAATTTCATTTCACTAGAGTTTAAGTTTGTTATATATGTGTTTTGTACACTTCTATTCGTTCTTTGTTGTATTTGTATATTTGTAATAGCAATATTTGTTCTTTGAAATTATGTATGTATAATGTTCTTGTTTATGTTGTAAATTCACTGTCTGATGTTTCTGTTTTTTATTAGAATTAATATTATTATTTTGATTTTTTTTACTCACACTTGCACTATCACTCGGGGGGAAAACTTGAGACTTGCGGTCGCGTGTGAAATTCGGTGAGAACTAACTATTGTCCAATTTACATCGTCACATCAAACCTGTTTTGGCTGTTGACGATGCTTAGTTATTGGAATTAAGCATTGGAATTTACCGGTGGCTGCATCAATGTATGTGTGTAGGTGCATATGTTATTTACATCATTTTGTTTTGATGTAATCTATGCAGCCGCCGGTAAATACCCAACCAACAGTGTTGTGCAAAATAGCGTAAATTTATGAACATTTTCTGGGCCCCGAACGACATCATTTGTAATATACCATAAAAAATCCTCGTTCTTCAGTTCCTCGGCATATTCTTGATTGGCCCAGCAAACACGTAGCCCAGTTGAGTATTGTAGGTCCGGACATCGCCAATTCCTGCTGCTGTACACCCATCTTTCCTTATGGCGGAGTACGTGTCCGCTCCCAGTTCCACATCGATCGGACTATTTCCTCTGGGATCAGGGTCAGCTAAGGCGTAGCTCGTGAAGCATCTAGTGGGGTCTTTCAGTATTGGCCAATAACTTGGTCTCTCATGGCGTTGGCGGGGTCTGGCGTCGGATCGGCTTCGCTGACGTCTTTCAGGGGATGTGGAACTGGGACGATGGATTGGCCATATGGGTCGATTGGCGCTTCTTGCTGTGGGACGGGCAGGTGAGTCTTGGTTACGGTTGCGATCGTCCAGACGGCAGTCCTGGTTAGGCAAGTAAGCGGCCATATCTGAAAAGAAATTAAGGCGAGTACTAAATTCTTTTTTGAGTGAGAATCCGACTAGTCAGTCGGAAAACAATTTGACAATTTTTGTTATGGGTCTGCTAATGTTGCCACTTGCCGTCCGTATGTCTACAAACCTGGTATTTTGATCACTGCCTGGATACGTTTTTTTCGATACGACCTAACTTCCATTCATGCGAAGCCAATTTTTTACGACAACTAGATCTCCTTCTTTGATGTTCTCCTTTTCATATTTCCACTTAGTTCTTCTGTGAAGTTCGTGAAGATATTCTAACTTCCATCTGTTACAAAAATATTGCGAAATAACTTTAAGGCTTTTCCAACGATTGACTAAGCATAGAACTGTATCTGAAATGTCTGGTTCAGCTGGGATAAGAATAGGTGTTCCTATTAAGAAATGACCAGGTGTCAAAGGGGAAAGGTGGTTTGGGTCGTCGCTAGCAGGACTTAAGGGTCGTGAGTTGAGACAGCCTTCAATTCTTGATAAAATTGTTGTAAATTCTTCAAAGGTAAAATTCATTTTTGGGATACTTTTTCGCAAATGAATTTTAAATGATTTGACGCCAGCTTCCCATAAGCCGCCCATGTGCGGAGCACCAGGAGGAATAAATTTCCATGTAAGATTTTGAGTGAAATTATTTTGAATTGTGCTATTTTGAATATTCTTCATGAAAGCAAATCTATCTCGCTTTAATAGATCAACCGCTCCCACAAAATTAGTTCCGTTGTCCGAAAATATACAAGCCGGACAACCTCGCCTTTTGTTTTATAAGCGACTTGAGTCCAAATATCCAGAATTCGGACTTTAATACTCGGGTCATTAATTGATTACCCCCGTGTAAAGTAACCTTATGAGTGAATTCGACTAATAATTTGCTAAGTTTGCGCCATGTGGTATTAATATAGGGTGACGTTCGCTATAGGTAAGGGCTGGCGATTGTACCAATCGTCCATTTGCTCTAACAATAACCTTTGAGTCTATAAACGGGTTGAGTGTCAACAGAGGACTTGAAGGAGAAATTTGAGTCTTTTTCATAAGTGAGTTGTATTCGTCTGCAAACACGAATTTCTGGGTACGAATTATGCAAGATCGTTTTCCATCTTGGATTACATCTGAAGTAAGGTCTTTTGATGAGGTGCGAAGGTGTTGCCTATTTGCTCCAGTATTTTTCCAGAGTCTTAGGGCATATGCGTATGATCGATAAACTTTAGATAAAGAGGAGAATTTTTTTAAAGGGTCATCTCTTTCCGCGAAAAGAGTCATGACTTTTGCCGTTTTGGCTTCCAAATTTGTGTCATTTGGGATTTCATACGATGACCAACGGTCTTTTGGCATTCTGAGCCATTGGGGTCCCTGCCACCAGAGATCACTATTCTTTAGCTCTGCGGGAGAACACCCACGGCTCGCAATATCCGCTGGATTATTTTCCGAATTAACATGTCTCCAATTTTCTTGTCCAACATTATCGGCAATTTCCGAGACTCTATTTCCAACAAATGTGCTCCAATGACAAGGAGGCTTCTTTAACCATGCTAAGACGATGGTAGAATCGGTCCAAAATTGTGTCGAATATTTTGATATTTTTAGGCTATTTACAATGGATTTAACTAACTTGGAGAGTAATACTGCCCCGCATAACTCGAGTCTGGGTATTGATAGTTTTTTAATAGGAGCGACACGACCTAATATATAAAGTGGCTCCATACGCGCTTTCCGACGCGTCACAAAATCCATGAATCTCTACAGAACCATCTAGCGTGTATTGAATCCATGGAGGAACTCTGAGATATTCAATATTTTTGCTATTTTTAACGAAATTGTTCCAGTTCATCTGAGTTATTGGCTTCAATTTATCATCCCAGTCAATTTTGTCTAGTTGTCTTGTTGCATTATTAAATTGGCTACGACGACCACCGGTGCCAGCCATCCACATGGGTCAAACAATTTAGCTATAGTTGATAAAACTTCTCTTTTTGAAGAAATATTTTTATTTTCCATTGAAGGTGGTGTAAACGAAAAATAATCGCCTGAGATATTTTGTACCATTTTGTGATCATTTGACGCCCATTTCATTAGTGTAAAACCAGCAGAGTTTAAAGCGGCAGTTAAATCCTTTCGGGCTTTGATCGATTCGTCTTCAGTGTGGCCGCCAGCTAATACATCGTCAACATATAAATTATTCAAAATTATATTTGCTGCTCTAGGATATGATTCTTTTACATCTTCTGCTAGTTTAAGAAGAGTTCTCAATGCTAAATATGGTGCGCAGTTAACACCAAATGTAACTGTTGGCAGCTCATAATCCTCTACTGGGTTTTCCGGAGACGTTCTAAATAGAATTCTTTGATATTTTGTTTGCTTTGAATCCAAAAGTATTTGGCGATACATCTTTGTTATATCTGCATTGATGGCATATTGATGGCCATTTTTAAATTTGCAATACTAAATCCTGTTGGAGATTGGGTCCAGGATATAGCATGTCATTGAGACTTGTTTTGTTTGATGAAGGACAAGAAGCGTTAAATGCGACTCTTAACTTCGTTGTGAGTCGATCTGGTTTTATCACTGCGTGATGTGGTAGATAATAATTTGACATTTTATCTATTTCATTCGGATTGATTTTCCTCATATGACCAAGTTCTAAGTATTCAAGTATTGAGGCATCATATTGTTCTTTGATCTCTGGTGTTTACATAAGTTTTTTCTCCATTCTGTAGAATTGAGCTAGAGCAATGTTTCGGGAAGTCCCCAATTCTTCGCATTTTTTGAATGGGAGAGTCACCACATATCTTCCATCATTGTTTCGTATTGTTGTTTCAATGAAGTTTTGTTCACAAAATTGGTCTTCTTCTGACCCTAAAACTTTTTTAGGGGTCTCTTTCACCTCCCAAAAACGTGTAAGTACTTTCTCTATTGAAGTTGTATTTAGAAGTGATATTTGTTTTCGTTGAAGGATGCTTCCTGGTATGGGTCCTCCAAATATCCATCCAAATTTGGTTTTTTGTGTTAAAATTGATCCAAATGTTTTCATTGGAGTTCCAGTTGTGAATATTAATGGTCCTATGTCCATTCCAATAAGTAAATCGATTGGTTGATTGACGTAAAATTTCGGGTCAGTCAGTTCTAATGCTGTTACATCTCGAAGTTGTGACTCATCTAAGTTTTGTGGTGGTAGATTTGAAGGTAAGTTCTTTAAAACTGGAGGCCAGACTTCCAGTGTAAAGCTAGGGTCGTATTTGGATCTCATAGTGAACAAGCAAGATTTCGTTGAAGTCTCAGAAATAAATTGACTTAAGCCAGTGACGTTAACTAAGTTGTTCCGTGTAGGTAATTTCAAAAAGTTTTTCATCTTTTCCGAAATAAATGTGGATTGTGATCCTGAGTCTATTAGAGCTCGGGCATCGTAAAGTCGTCCTTTAGTTTCAATTTGTACTATTGCTGTGAAAAGTAGTGTTCCTCCAGATTGTCGCTCACAAATTTGCTTATCTTGGAGGGTCAAAGTAGTAATAGTAGTTGGTTCTAGGTTTGTAGTGGACTGTATTTGATTTGTAAGAGCGGCAGCACTAGTACTAGGTCGTGCTTCCACTCGAGCTAGGTATGAGTTAGTTGTTTGGGTTTCCGTTCCCTTGTGTAACAAAGTGTTGTGTTTCATAGTACAAATACGGCAGCCAAAGCGACCTTTGCAATCCTTTACTCCGTGATTTGATTACAAGCAATTGTAGCATAAGTGTGATGTTTTCACGATGTGAGTTCTGTCATTCACACTCTTTTTTAAAAATTCGCTGCAATCTCTGATGAAATGATTTGATTTGCAGACTTGACATGTTTGAATATTTTTCTGTTTATTTTGTTGAGGAAATATTACATTAGTAGGGCTTCCTCCAAAGTTGTTTGTATTTTTTGAGACATTTGTTTGAAATGTTTTCAAAAATCTAGGCGTGTGATTGTTAGTTGGTTTTTGTTGAGCAAATTTCGATGTAGAGGGCTTTATGTTACCAACTGATTCCAAAGTTTTGAATTTGTTTGTTAAGAAAGCGTCAAACTGTTCCCATTTTGGAATTTGTTTACAATCGCTTAATGAATTCTCGTTCTAAAAAGCCTCTAGGTAATCTTGTTGAACAAATGTATATTAAAATCGGTTCCCATCCTTTAACATCGACATCAAGCATCCCCAGTGTCTGAAAGCTGCTATTAACAGTGCGTTGTAGTTTTTGAATAGAGTGACTTGATTCAGTAGAAACTCCAGGTAGATTAAAAAGTGTCTTGATTTCTTCATTAATTTGCATTCTTTTATTCTCGTAACGATCTGTGAGATTTTTCCATGCTAATGTAAATCCCTCATTAGTTAGTGGGACATGTGAAATAATTTCTCTAGCTTCTCCTGCTGTCTTTTGCGTTAAATGGAATAATTTTTCGACATTGCTTAATTTTGAGTTGTTTATGTAAATTGCTGAAAATAGATCTCTGAAGGTAGGCCATTCCCTATAACCACCTTTTTTGTACGATCCCATGGTATCCATATAGTGCTTCTTCAGTTTATTTTTATCGATCGGCTTCCTCTTCTGGAACATAATCCCGGCAGTCTATGTATGCTCTTTTGACCTGGTCCCATACAGAGTCCAACTCCATCCTTGTTGTTTGCACTGAAAAAATTGAAATATAATCCAAAAGATCGTTGACGCAATTTGTGAATTTATCGCTTAAAGTTTTATCCATTTTGAAAATTTTGTTGGTTTACAAAAAAGAAAAGTTGCCCAATGAAAAAGACTAACTTGTCGACGAAAACGATCTTATCTTATTGGTTTGAGTCAAATTATATTTCGTTTCCATTCGAGAACTTCAAAATTTTTGAAAAATTTTCTTTGTATTTGGCGCCGGAATGATTTGATTAAAAATGTTTGTTGGGAGTCAACTTTTAGCCAAAATGAGCAAAAAGGAAAATAAAATCTCTTAAAGTCCACTAACAGGAGGATTTTATTTTTGCGAATCGACGAATAATACAAAAGTTTTTAAAACAAGCGCGTAAACGGGAATTGCAAAAACAGAAACTACCAGAGATGTATTGCTGCAATAAACGATTTTTTTTCTTTCAAAAAATCACGAGAGTCTAGTTTGATAGTCAAAGAAAAGTTTAATGTTCCAAAAAGTTTCAGAAAATCCAAAAAAAAATGTGTGGGTTGTCGAACAAAAGTTTCAAAATTTTTACTTAAAATCGCTTAATATCCTATGACAGGAGGATTTTAT